AACAAGAGAGACTGCTAGTAATTCTCTACTGAATGCACTACATCTTGATTAAGTAGCGTCTAGACGTTTGAAGAAAAAGGAGAGAGGTTGCAATTCCTCGGAAGAAAACTGTTGAAGAGCTGAACCGATGGTTACGTCTGATGCATCTGTCATAGCAACTATAGGAGCGTTGACGTCACGACGTACCAGTAAAGTTTCACAGTTTTTCAAATGCTTCGACTGCTGAAGTATTCATGTGCATGGATTTTGCGTGACCTTTTGTCAAATTCGTCAGAGTTAGGGCCAACTGTGCACGGTAAAGAATGAAATGGCGACAAAAATTGACGAGACCGAGGTATTGGCGTAATATTTTTGGAAGAAAGTGCACTGTATCGTTGCTGCAGCAACGTCAGTGCACTGTCTCGATAAATGCATCAACCTAATTTCTTCGTTTATTACAAAACACTCAACACGACTTCAAGCTCTCGGAAAAAATGCAGATAATCTGCTGGATTTCAATCAGAGTGCTGTGGCTCGAACTTTGGTAACTCGGAAGCCCTCTATTCTCACTAGGCGGCGAAACATGAACATCAAACTTATGAGACGAAACATCAGACACATTGTCACAAACATGAGGCAACTGTTTATCACCTGCATTTCTGTCTGCATCCAAACGCCGATAAATAAGCGTCCAGTGGTCACCACATTTGACATCACCCTTACATCCCATTAGACAGGACTAGAATTAATTGGAAAATCCTTACTGCTAATATAACCAAGCACAAAATTCAGCAATATCCTATTTCACCCACGTGTTCACTTTGATTCAGATATGACTTACGCTGTTATTAGCAAACAATTGACTCTTCAGTTCTCTCATATTTGTGATACATGCTGACATAGTTTCAATTAACTTACTTACAATTTTACCAACTAACATTTCCATCATTAGTCTACTCATTTAAAAAAATAATTTTGATATGCTTGTCACTGCTAATACAACCATGCTGTCTGTCACTGACTATCCTGCAATAGTATCTCGCATTGATTTTCCTGTTGTCGAGTAAATTGGATGTGACATGGTACAGAATACTGAGACTTACACAGGATCAAGTTTACTGTTTCAGGTATAAGGCAACTAAAAATAATAATCATCATCATTATTATTAATATCACGCCCTGACATATTTCATCGTAGTGCCAGAAAATGTGTTTAGCTTCAGTAGAGAGAGTGTGTGTGTGTGTGCATTGTACACTGAACAGCGAGACAGTGAATGTGTCGCATGCAGTGTGTATCTGTCTCTCTCTTTCTCTCTCTCCAAGTGTGTGTGAGTGTGTGAGTGAGACACTGTGAACTGTAATGAGCAGTGAGACTATTCACTAAGATACCTGATAATTAGATGAGATATCCTACACTCTGTAATATGAATAATAATAATAATAATGATAACATTAACAGTAATATTATCATTATCACTATTCTGAATTATTATATATGTATATTCATAGAATAATTACAAAGGCGGATTTCTTCAGAAATTATCAGTCAATCTTTTGTGTTATCGGAAGATTCAGGTCATCGAAGGAATGTCGGTTAATTAGAAATAGTGGTATCACGCTGATAAATCCAAAAACGAGCTTATTACTAGCTGAATGAACAGAAGCGAGATATTATGGTTTCTGTGGTTTAGTATAATATACGCGTAGGCAAGATTGTCTGTTTTGCTTTCAATGGATACATTCTTATATATTTTTTATTTCACATTCAGATTTTCACACTCACACTGACAATCTTCTTCGAATTTCACTTGAATTCCCCTATAGCGTCTTACGTATTCCCTCTCATTCTCTGTATTTTCACGAAGATTCCACTGTTGCCTGTACGTTTCTCTGTTTGCTTGTCGGTTCAGTTGTTTGTTTGTTTGTCTGATTAGTGCATGTCTTTTTTGGAAATTAACTTCCGTGCCTCTGTTTCACAACCCTCACAACGTCTACCCTCAAAAACCTTTCTCTCTCTCGTCTTTTATACATTGCCAAAATGTGATGGGAATCATGAATGACTGGATGGGTGGATGGATGGATGGATGGATGAGAAAATGCATGAATGTGAATGTAGATAATCTGACGACGATTTGATATGAATGAATTATTGATTTGTGGTAGATCAGCTCAAATCTGCTGACTGATTTATGAACACCTGGAAAGTGAGATTCTCCTCAACCTTTCTGATGTATGTGCATCAATCAAATGCTTGGAAAGCGTGGGGGACGGGAATCTTCGAAATTTACTTGCACTTTGTTTATTTCTGTGTTTGTTAACTGGTTCACTTGTTTTTGTAGAGCTTAGAGCATAACCTGAAGACGCGGCACCCTTCCGAGAGGCATTTATGAACATTTTAGAGCGTGTTTGTCAAAAAGAAAAAAATTGGCCTGTCAACAGTCGTAATTGGAACATATCATTACTTCTTGGCAGGTAGTATCGTGAAGATTACTTTCGCATTCATAAATTGAGTACGACTAAATAGTCCTAGGTACTTTCACCTACATCCTCTTCATGCAGCCGAATTCTTAGCTATGCCTAGAGGGAACCTGTAATTTGTGTTCGCTAACGTTTTATCAAGCCTCTTTTATTGAAATACTCTTAGTGCAAAATTTTTATCTTCTTCATTCTTCGATTCGATGAGTAAGTGTATAAAAAGCTCTAAGTGGTCCGTTTTATGTTTTCGCAACTCATTTCCAATCCCTCCTCATCTTGTTTTTCATATCAACCATTTCCAAACCGTTATTCCTCACTTTGCTGATGAGTTGTCAGCCCTCTCGAATGCGTAGGATTATTCTCACTTTCACAATCGTAGTTGTTACTCATACCCTTTGATTCACTCAGTTCCTTTGCTACTGACAGTAACTTTTCACGCTTGATGTCAACCTATACTGACTGTATGGATAAGCACCCAAACGCATAGTTGAACAGCTTTGAAGAGGAGCTACTAAAGGGACATATCTGTCTGCTGACTTGTGGGATGGGAGTCCGTCCGTCATACTTTACATCATAACAGAAAATTACCAACAGGACTGCTCACTGGAAGTTAACGATTTCGACTTGTGATTTCGCATCTGCAGAGTTAGATTTCTGGAAAGAAAAATATAAAGGTGATACTACCGAAGCTATACATGAAGTTATTTGAAAGAACCTTAACAGACTATGAGAAATTTAAGCAGAAATAAGAGATTCCACATGCAACGATTGATTCACGTCGGTATACTTTCTATCATCAAATGTCAAACTGAATATAGCAATATAATGAATTTATTGATTACGAAATAAATTCTCTCCAACATTCTAGTTGGTTCACATCATCAGCATGCAGGAAATGCTTAACAAAAAAGTGAGTGATATTAATGTGATATCTGTGAGGAGAAATTGTGACTTTTCCGGCTGTCCATTGAATTCATAGGTCTTTCACAATCATCGTGCTCTTTACACTATATAACAAATTGTTTATCGCCAGATACAAACAGGCTACCCCCACACTTCCACTAAAATATATAAGCTCACCATCGCCACCCTTGCGATATGACCAAAACGAGATTCCATCTAACATCTCATCAAGTAGGAATGAGAAGGGAGACTGTGTTGACAAATTATGTAACGACCAGTTATTACAATCAAACTTATGCTAATACAAGTGCTGTTATCATCCTCTCACTTCCTTGTTTTGGAAGTAAAATGGATGCCTAGTGTAATCGGTTGGACAGCTACTTTGCACACTACTCACGCCAGGCAGTATTATCTTCACGATGGAGATATGTATTTTCTCAGAGATCACATGAGTCTGATAAACAATGAGTAAGACTGGATATTTGGAGGCAGTCGACAGGTTTCGTGCTAGTTGACGCTCGTCAGCAAGGCGTACCTACAACCTTGAAGGAACTCACGTCTATTCTGAGATTTAAACTTGCGTCACCCAGTGCTGCAGTCACAGCTCGTGATTGACCTCCTGTAGGACTGTGGTATGTATTTTGATTGGACACTAGTAACTAGTGCGACGTGTCTTGTGGCCGCCATTCTAGGTAGCTCACCACCACGGTGCCACGGTGGCCACATTGCAAACCTGACTGATAGAATTCAGTCTGCACCAAAGAAAAATCTAGAAACGTCTCACTAGTTACTAGTGTCCAATCAAAATGAGTATGATTTGTGTGCAAAGGATTGTAGTATGCCTCTGTTTCCACATATTGTTTTCATTAAGCGACGATGTGATCGCCTTGGAAATAATAATAAGGTTGGACTCAGCTAAGGATGTTATTCGTCAGTATTCCAATAGGCGCCACATTCTGTTTGTGTGCCAAAATCATCACTGGCCTTAAGACACTGTGTAACTTTCTACAGCATTCAGAATTTGACAATTTGTACTGAATGATGATTTCTTGTCTGCTTCGTCTTCCCAGTGTTGGTCAACAAGTGATTGTGGGTGGAGTGGTGGTAATGAATACACCGTCTTCAGTTCTATGCATTAATCTGTATAGATTTTGAAGTAGAACTCTTTGATTTGTCACACCGAACAGGTGGACTGTTGGTTTTCACTGACAATGTATTTCCACAAAAATGTCTACTGCAAATTTTCTGCTTTGAGAAGAAGCCGATTCAGCGCCACAAATTGAATGTGGAGACATTGCAAAGGTGATTTATGTGTGAGCGGCAATGAATATCTTTCGATAAACCTGCTCTTTTACTTGTCTCCGCCTTTGAATTATAACGACATATGAAGTGCTTGAAAATATTTGCAAAACTGAAGTCACCCTCCATTCTCTCTGCTGATTTTCTCTTCTATGATAGGCTCACACAAGTTGTTATTTGATCGAACGTGGGTATCACTCCATTCAGAATCCAATCAAGACGTGAAATAAAGTAAGACAGATTGAATCGGCCAACCACCATCCAGGATTATACTGTGCTCACAGACATCTGAATTTCAGCACTAGTATAAATACTCGTGAATTGAATGATCAAATATAAACATGATGAATCGGTGCACAGTCTTCCTTCTAACTATCGTCGCTCCACTGCTTGTACAATCAAATTTGGGAAGGAGTAAGTACGACTATATTTTACTTATGTATTTATGTTGCTCCTTTACGTTGTTCCGGATTGAACAAGGTGCTTCTGATTTCCGCTCTGAAGTTTCAGTAGCAGTGGTTTTATATTTCACAGCATGGGGCTACTAGCCCCACCCCACCCCACCCCACACTCAGACTTCCCTCTTCACTAGACTGAGCATCGTCTTGGACGTGTGTAGGAGTGAGTCTGCGATGGCGGTTAGAGGCCCGAAACAAGTGTGGCGTGTTTGGCGAGCATTCTACTGCTGAACTGCCAACTCGGTGGTATATTTAAGCCTCATTTTATTTTCATTGTCACATTGTTAGTAATATTTTCACCTAATTTAATTTTGTATTCATTTTCTTATTGAACAATTTCATCAATTTAAATGTCACCCTCCTTTTTTAATAACTATTACTCCTGTAATGAGAAGGTTACATGCAATACTGTACAACATGCTGGAAATCGCATATTTGTACTGAAAGCACTGTTTGCAATAAAGCTATTAATATTATTATCATTATTAACAATGTGTTATATTGTCTAAAATATGTACAGCTGTTTGTCTGAAATTCACCTGTTAATAAATTTCTATACATTGTGAACGAAGGCTGAAGTATGAGAAATTCATTCATAATACTCATGGTCGTCTATTTGAGCGTATAGGATTTATTATTAGTGTATTTTTCTCTCAGGTCTAATTTTAAAGGGGGAAAACATCAACATAACAGGTATTCTTTGGAGCGATTCCTTCAAAAGTAAGAGGACAATAAATAATAATAATAAATATTCTAACTATAATAATAAAGTATATGCAGTTTGACTCGTTCGTGTTTTGGAGGGTTGGTTTGCACTGTATGACAGACAAATTGGAACTTGATTTCCTTGCCAAATGCCTGCAATGCAGTGTATGGTTGTATGTGTGTGTGTGTGTGCGTGCTGATATTTCCACAAAAATCAACTTTTATCCTTCACCTATGAGTTTTTCAATCAAACATCCTACGAGAAGGATTCTTTGTACTCTGAATGCTTGCGAATATTTTGAAATTAGAGATAATTTATGTATATATAATTATAGTTCAGTCTGTAAAATTCAAGATTGATCATATATATACAATGTATACTCTGTTTAAGTGTTGGTGAAGAGCGACAAAAGCAATGAGGATAATGGAAGATATTTTGAAGAAATGAATCGAAGTAAGTCACCTGCAAACGTATATTTGCATTTTATTCTGATGGAATATTCACTTATGCTTCACAATAATACATGACTTCCTACCACAATGAGCACGATAAAGTAGGTCGATGTGTTTTGATAATGTAGTCTTCACATCAACGCAGTATGTCGTGTGATAGACATCAGTAGGATGATGATGCAAACATCTCCGCCAGTATACTGAATATCTCCTGGAATTGATGATTCAAGAGAATTACTGACACCCTTCGAAACAAATATCTATATCATCTGAACCAAAACATGCTGTTCATTTTTAGGAGGTGGTGGTGCATGCATGGTGTGAAACAATAATACTACCGACCTCATGTCTGTCTGTTGGAATCATTCATCTCTTCTCCATTGCCACGTGAGGTTAGTTAGTTAGCTTGAGAATGTGAGAGAAAACGGCTTGACGGTTGACGACTGGTTCACATATTCGCTCGCCTAGTCTATGTGAGCACATGGAAGATAGATGGCTGACCACCTCCATCACCATCGCCAGCAACAATGTCAGCAGCAACATTTACCAGTCAGTGTGTGTCAAGGAGAGACGTCCTGCGTGAAATTCATTTCTGCAGTCGGCGTGGAGATCTACACTCACACATTCACACACAGCTGTAATAACAAGGAGGGAAGTGGACATATTGAAGACTCTGTTTAGTGCCAGTGCTTTCTTAAACTTCACAGGTTTAGTGAATGTTGTCAGTTCGATCAGCTGTTATAGTCGATTTTTATCCAACACAGTGTGTTATTCACACTTCTTATCAGAGCGACACCACACTTCATACATTATGGTCAATATGAATCTATTCGAGGCAGGAGAGTGTTGTTGGTGATAAGGCTGAAAATCGGTATGAAAAGTGAGCGCATGTGTATTCACTGCTTCTAATGTTCCAAATTCACATCCAATATACATACATATACTCACCATTCTTCATGTAGTTATGCTTTCACTTATGCATTTCCGATCAATGAGGTTGGATAGCATTATTGGTCTGTACCCCTGTGTGTGTGAGTAAAATAATGAATTCTGGAAACTTGAACTGATGCACTTTCCTGCAGAGTAATATATGTTGATAATTAAGTCAGTTTCAGATGGAGGGAGAATGCACAGGTCTTTTGCTGCTGTTAATCTGTATAAAAAGATGAATGAAGTGATGACGTTTAAGCACAGGGTTTCCTAAGAATTCCCTCATATAATACTCATGAGGTGGTATTTGAGCGTACCGGATTTATTCTGCATTTTTCTTTTAGACAGATTTTGGGGATGGAATGAAGATTATGAGACGCTTCTACATTTTTCGGAATCGTTTGATGGTGAGATGACCTTAGTAATCTTTAGTATTTTTTTCACCATTTGAAGAAATTATATGCATTTTTACCATTGTTTTGGAACATGTTCATCACATGCTCATGTGTGATATTTACTTACACATAAATCAACATGCATCTCGTATTATTATTTTGGATTTCAAAAATTGGCAATATCTTCACATATGAGTTTTTCTATTAAACATCATGTGAGAAGGAGTGTTTGTTTGTTCTCCTAATGTCCTCTGCAAGCATTTTGACATCAGTGTGATAAAATATTTTCGATATTTATTGTGTAGTCTGAATGACTGACTCTGTTCTCCCTTCATGTGAGTAAACATTCTACTTCCTTACAGGAATGGCGAATCGCAGTGAAATCGATTGGAAGTTTGCAGAATCGCAAATGAATGAGACAAAAAGTACGCGTCACTATTTAACTTATCTTTGCATTTTATTCTGATGGAATATTCACTTATGCTTCACAATAATAATACATGACTTCCTACCACAATGAGCACGATAAAGTAGGTCGATGTGTTTTGATAATGTGTAGTCTTCACATCAACGCAATATGTCGTATGATAGACATCAGTAGGATGATGATGCAAACATCTCCGCCAGTATACTGAATATCTCCTGGAATTGATGATTCAAGAGAATTACTGACAGACACCCTGCAAAACAAATCTCTATATCATTTGAACCAAAACATGCTTGCTGTTAAATGTTGAGGAGTTATGATGAATATGTGTAAAACAACAAAACTACTCACTTCTTTCTTGTCTGTGGGAATCATTCATCTCTTCTCTACTGATGAATGAGATTAGTCAACTTGAGAATGTTTCGATGACTTGTTCACATATTATCAGATTCAAGGTGATCGCACAAAAGACAGAGATGATAAAGACGCCCAACAACCACCACCACCACCACTGTCATCGTCACCACCATCATCACCAAGGACAAAAACAGCAGTAGCAAATTCATCAATCATCATCGAGGAGAGAAGTCCTATGGGAAATTCATTTATGTAGTCAGCGTGAAATAAGTCAACTTGAGAATGTGTGATGGTGACAATTTGAGGTGTACAAGACTCTCTTGTATTTCTCTAGAGGTTATTACAGCTTTACTTAAATAAATTTCACACACCCCGATCAACTGAATGACTTCTCTTTGTTTGTTGATAGTTGAGAACGTTTTATGACATGTTTCTATTTATTCACCTTATTCTTCCCCCGCCCCGCATTTAGATTATTTGTTGGGGAAACTGAAACGGAGAACACTGCTGGATAAGTGTAAGTTGAATGTGTAACTAAAAAATATTTAAAAAATAATTTCCAGTTGTAGAATGTTCAACTCAAAACTCCGAGATATTATATCGATTGAGATTGTACGCAGGTTTGTAGAGTTCTTTGAAAATTTGTTTTTAACCAACTCTTGATAAATAATCAGATACTCCCTAGCTACTGATTGCCTGGAGAACGAAGTGAAGACCTGTGGACATCTGATATGTATTTGTGACCAGTGGGCTATATCTGATCCCGGTTGAGGATAAACACCCACTGATAACACTGACTGAGAGCAGTCAGGCTGAAAATCAAGAATTTGTAGAGGCTGCGATTCATGCGCTGACCATTGAGGAGTTGGATCACAGTGGCTGAATGGTCTGTGAGCTTGATTTGTGACTGCATGATCCTGACCTCGAAAGTGTCGGTACCGGTGTACTACCGGTGAGCCCGAATGTAGCGCGAAACAGCTGTCCATCCACTTCACCATGCTACTTTCCAATCCTTCGCTAAGTTATATCAATCCGTGGTCAAACAACAACAACATCTTTTGTTTCTTATTGCATGATTAATTTGATATAAGAAACCTCTTGACACTTTCACCAGTGAATAATTCTTTCTCGGGGTGAAAGCATTTAGGAGTGTATCTGACTGATATGATCAGTGATGAATGTGAGACGTAAGAGTTAGCTGTATGCGAATCCAAACCGCTTGAACAAACTAAACTGATTCACTGTACTTCGTTAGTTATAAGAATAATATTAAAAGAGGTTTTAAGGTTATTTGCATATGACCCGCTGCTTACTGAAGTAATTTGAGGTGATTACCATGGGTGAAATTAACCACAACATGTTTGAACGAAAATCATTTGTGGTTGCTATTAACGTGCTTCGATTATCCTTGTCTGATTATCAGGAGTGTGGTGTCAGTTGTCATCCTCCCTAACATGCTTAAATCCCTGATTACTTCGTCAGACCATAAACCTACTCAATTTTCATTCAAACTGAAATTGCAAGTGTTTGCCCGCGTGTGTGTGTGTGTGTGTGTAGGGACACAGTGTGGATAAAAAATACACATCAAATTCTTCCAGGACAGCTTCGTTATCTCCAATAAGTATATCGAAATTTATTAAATGAACACAAACTGCTCTTAACCTTTTCTGGGATGAATAGTGCTCATAGCACCTAAGTTGGAAAGAGAGAAAACGAAGTTTAACTGAAGGACCACTTTGTCATCAAATATTCTTCATCTCACTGCTTTATTCCACAGAATGTTACACTTCACTAAACTATTTCAGTATATCTTATTATTCCGTGTTCAACGAGTTTGTTTATATATAAGACGTGTTCTTCCCAACAAATTTCAGAAGTCCTGCCGAAGTTCCTTAATCTAGATAAACAATTTGGTAGGTATTCATTAATTAGTTTTACAAACATTTTCTCTAATATCCTCCTAAATGCTCATTACATCTTGTTGTACGTGTGGGTTTGTTTGTGTGGAAAGGTGAGTGGATGAATGGGCGATGAATATTTCATTGATCATCGGAAACCTCTTTCTCAACATTCATTTTCTTAAATGTGCTACTGAAAATGTCCACATTTTAGACATGCTGCCTACTTATAAGTAATTGTTAATTCACACTTGGTGTAAATGTTCACTTTTCTATATATCATTCAGGTAATTTTATAAAAGTAATGAAGCCGCATATTAGGTTTGTGAGAATGGAGATTGCTAAACTGAGAGGTGAGGAATAATTATTGCAATGAATATTTGTGCATAACGCCTTGACTCTATCCACACATTTCTTATAATAGTCAACTCACCGGGGAATGAATGTTTGTGTTGTGTAAGATTTGTTAGTGGAAGTGATCAACACTCATTTTGTGCTAGGGTTGAACAACTTTATTAAATGTTAAAATTGAGCTTTTAGTTAAGATTAAATGCTGACTCGAATGGACTCGAATGAATGAATGCTATTCATTGTGATTTCTCAATTGAATCACTTGTGTAAATATCAACAACGATGACATTCCTGCTGGTGGTGGTGGTCTGCTGGATTTTGTGAAAGACTGTGCGTGAGGAACGAGTAAATAGGAACTGATAAGAAGACACTAGAATATCTGAACTTTCTAGCCGATTTGTGTCTAGTGTCACGCAAAGTCGAAGACTTACAGGCCCTGAAAACCACCAAGCTGTAAGAAGAGGCAGACAACATAGACAGTGAGTAATTCAAGTGGAAATCGAGAAGACAGTGGGATGCGGATAACCAGCTAACATTCATATCAAGCACGAATGAGGGGAAGGGGAATTTGAAGGAAACCACAACTTTCACCTACCTATCTGACTGGGCGTCGTCGTTTCAACCTCAGGCATTCGGGACACATGAGAGTGTAGCGACCACCTAGAATTGGAAAGAGAAGACAGACGTTCAACACTCTGAAATCAGTTTGAAAATCTACTGCACTCCGCCACAGCATATATAACTTAATTCGGATTTTCACAGCAATGTTAGTAAGTCAATTCTTCTTGGTGTTTGAGAGACGTGACTAGCACACCGCGAAGAGCATTTCCAACAGCCCTGTCGCAAAGCTTCATCAAGGACTGACTTAAATGGCTCCATACCGCGAGTCATATGCTTGGCTTGCCAGAAGGCACCAGAAACAAGCAACTCAGCTGTGGAACGAACCAATCGAGACATTATTGCCCAACAACTATGTGGATGAAGATGGAGATGGATCAGAATTATTTTCGTGGGACCGTTGCATGCCAGGTCATCGCTCGAGTGGACTTGAATCGAGAACGACAAGATGGACATAAGTGTGATGGTGACACAGTGGTTAGGACTCTCGCCGAACTTGCACATGGTCCGGGGTTCGACCCCCTGCCGACGCACACACGATATCTATGGTCGGCCTGCAAAATTCGGGCTACCGATATCACATGCTGAAAATTCCATACCTGTACCAAAAATTACGCTGTGGAATCAAGCTATAATCCAAAATAAAAGTAATAAGGGAGGAGGTCATGTGAGTGAGAAGGAGTTGAAAGCGCATGGGTAGTTGTGATTGCATTAAATGGAGAATTCATGTGTTGAAATACCTGTCCCGCTTTCCCTATTCTTCCATCATATGGGTGTAATACTTAATGATTTTGTTTGTTGTGTGAAGGATGAAAACAGAGCTGTTTAATTTATCAGTCGGATATTTAACCACCAGTGGTGTTCTACTTTCATTTTAGTGACATTGATTTCTTAATATAAGTGTAGAACCTGGGCACTGTGATAGATAAGCTTACTTTAAATATCACACAGCGATGCAGTAATAATTCAAGGCCAATGAAATACTTTGTGATGCCTGCAAAACTCACAGAATCGTCGTTTTGCTAATAGAACTTCTCAGTACTTATCATTGTATCATTGTTATGCTTCTCCCCTCTGTCTTACAGTTGAGCAGGATTATTTGACACATTCACCATGCATAGAACCAACACGATTGCAAAAAGGTATTTCGAAACTTTTCTGTTTCCTCAATTTAGTTAGTCCCTTTTATAAATATCGATAGAGATTTTAGGAGAAGATGGAGATTATCTGAAGAATGTGATGTATTTGTTGAATACGTTTTGAACAATCTAATTAATGGCTCACATATTTACTTGTCAAGCTAATTAATATGAAAAAAAAATACAGGGAAATTCAAGTACACAATGGGACGGAAAGCATTTAAGAATAATAAGATTAATTAACACTTCATTTGGTTGTCCAATGAAATGAGGATTACCAAGGTTGGTGAGGAGTAATAGCAGATGGTCCTCGAACACACTGGTGACGAGAAGATTAAGTTTGAGAATAGATATTGCCTCAGCATATTTTTATATGAGGAGCTCCCTTAACCAACAATATGGATGATCATAAAACATGTGTCAACATCAGTTCTATGGTTCACATATCGAATTTACATTTGTCTATGGATTGAGTTGGTTATCGGTCTGTCACCTGCGTCTATGAATTTTCCTGAGTTCATCCATCCTTCATGCCATTTTTGAGTATTTTCTCCTGCCATCACATGACAACCACGATAACTGGATGATTGTGAGTACTGTATATCAGGTGTCATTGACTGACTTGATGCATTTGTATCTCTATCTGTATTATTCCGCATTATCTGGTTAGCGGATTATCGAAGCACTTGAATCCTTGAATATATACACAACTAAATACATAGGAGCGGTAGAAATATAAGCTGTTTACAGACTGAATAAAACTGTTAGAGTGAAAATCGAATTTCTGTCAGAAAACCACATCTGAGCCAGCTGTCCTCAGTGTGCGAAAACACATCACTGTCAAATTAAAATAAATCAGGTCTGTCAATTTTGATTTTTATCTCATGTGAAGTGATACAATTCATTCATTCAAACCGTGTATTGTGACATTCGATATTTCCCATTCGATATTTGATAGGTTTTAGAAAATTGAGACGTTTGATTTCAAATGTGTCCGTATGGCGATCAAGATATTTCCAATTCTCTCGTAAGCGCATATGGCAATTCTCCCCGTTTGTCTAGGGTTAAATTTACTCCCCCCCTTCGTGTAAGAGCCACTTTCATGTTGAAGCAGTTTCATTAAAATCCTACTGTACACACATTTCACACGTCGTGTGCTGCCTGCTACTGAACACATGTCGATTCTTGTCAATCCACCATGTATTGGAAAGCCTGTAGCTCTATGCATTTCTGTTACAATGGCTTTGGATTCCACCCGTGAGAACGAACATTATTTATCAGTGATGGAAGGAAGTCCATGGCTGCATTGACTCATGATAAAAGTAATTTCATTTCACTATGAACTTGACTTTCACACACACACACACACACACCCGTAAAACATACATGTATCTTTATAGTATTGATGTTGTAAATTGATAGACACATTTCACCACACCACACCACACTCGTTATAGTATTGACTGTGCAACGAACGCAACATGAATATATAGAGAGTATATCACAGAAATTATTCGAATTTTTCATTTTTATTTTTATTTTAGTCCTCAGTGGCGTCTTTCGCGAAATGGCTGATGCGATAAGCGTGAGCTGATGTTTTTAACTGAAATTGTGTAGAAAGC